TCCGGTGCACCGGTATCAAAAAACTGTTCGTTTGAAACCCGCTCCCCGCCCAACCCGTCCCAGTCCGCCCCCTATGCTACAGTATCGGGCTGATCCAGGCTGAACCGGGTTGTAAACGGGTCAGCCAGGCCAGATTAACAGGTATATTGGGCTGTATTTGAGCTTGTCAAAATAGGCTGATTCAATAAATGTGTCATTCTAAAGTTCATTTGGGTCAAGATTGGTTGGTCTAGATGTGCTAAACAATGGGTCGTAACTCACCATCTTAACTCAAATCTTTATAATATTCTCAACGCTTGAACAAATTAAAATCCAATATTGTTAAGAAAATTCAAAAATATATTTTTCCAAGCTATATTAAATCAAACTATAATCTGGTTTTTCTTTAAGTTATTACTCTTTTCACTTCAAATAGAGGGGAACTCTATTTTCCTTTTTAATTGGGTTCTTCGAACTACAAAGTAATGTCAACTTTCTTGAAATGAAACAATCACCGTATACATATATCATCAAAAAGTAAAATTTGACACACATTATAATTTAAAAGTTCAAATTTTCACCTAATTTGGGCTCAATTAAAATTGTTTAATTGAAAGATAAACTCCGATTAAATAACTTAAACGTTCTCAATTCACTTCATTAGATAAGCGTACTTCCAATTCCAAGAGAAGAAAAACACATTTCAACTTCTCAAATAGTAATACAGTCATTTTTTTTTGGGACGTAAGGAATAATATTTTTTGTCGTAAAAGCAGGAATTTTATAAACTCAAATAGAAAAGAAAAATTAAAACTGTATGATGAATCAGTTGCCTCCAAATACATAAATTGGAAAAGGGATAAATCGTTCAATTTCACTGCACGAAAAATTCATTTCAATTTCCAGGAGTGACCAAATAAAATAAGAATATTGACGGAAAAATATCCTAAAAATGAAAAAGATGGACAACATGGAAAGCAAATGAAATACGGTTAATACCAAAGCTTTAGAAAACGAAAAAAATCTAATTTGGATTTTTGCTACTCACATGTCAATTTGGACTAAAAGTAGGAGTTGATTTGGGCTACCAAAAATGAATGTGCTTAGTTGGGTTGTGCGGCACAAACCCTGCCCATCATTAATATATCTCATGCTCAACCCATTAAAATCTGGCCGGTGGCCTTGGGCTATTTTTGCCACCCCTATTTGTGAGTATATAAAAAGATGATTTTTTAAAAACCACTATTGTTTAGTGGCTATTAACTTCATATAACTATTATATACATAATTACTTTCTATAGATACTATTTAGTCGTTACGCGACTGTATTCACTGTATTCGCGTTACTGTATTCATGAATACAGTAGCGGAATTCGCCTAATAAATAGGAGAGTCCAGTTGTGCGACTGTATTGGGTGTATTCGCGCTACTGTATTCATGAATACAGTAGCGGAATTTCGCTTAAAAATAGAGGAGTCCAGCTATTTAATAACGGAAAGAAAATCAATTACCGTGTACCACTCCTAACTTAACTCAATAAAATCAATTCTACATAAATTTCGTTGCTACTGTATTGTATTTCATGTATTCACGCGACTGTATTTATAAATACATTGAGGTAATCAAGAAATATGGTGTATATTGTTCTATTCAATTTGACTGTATACATTGAATTCAATTCACATATATTCATTATTCACTATTATACATTGTATTCAATTTACCGTACTCAATTCGACTGTATTCTAACAACAAAAAATCACAAAAACATAGTGATATTCGGTTGTATTGAAAAAATACAAACCTTCGGAATACACAAATATATGCAAAAAAATTATGTATTTATACAAAAATATAATGTATTTGAGTGTATTTGTACATAATACAATATATTTGTATCATTCTCTCAATTACCTATCTTGTGCTCGAGAAGGTCCCTCAGTTCCTCGGCAGCACCTCGAGGTGCATTTAGTTGCCTTACATGAGACGAGGGTTATTCCCCACTCCATGTTATATGACTAAATAGCAAAGAAGAGAAGAAAGTTCGCCGGAGATGGTGTTTTCCGGCCAAGCAAATACTTGATACATTGCGTTAAAACTAAAGGTGGAGACCAACAAAAATCAGGCCCTCAAATCTTCTCTGACATAGCCATGTCCAGATCTGTTCGCCTAAGAGGATGAGTCAATAGTGGATGATGACGCCGACGATTCTGACGCCGACCACGATGATGACGCCAACGATTCTGCTGATTTTGATGGATAAGGGAGATGATTGAGAATCTTACGGATAGAGATAGATAGAGAGAGAAAGAATCTTGGTGATAGAGAGAGAAAGAACATAATTGGCGGATTTCATATTTTAATGGTAGGTATAAATAAATACTTATTTTTCTATAAAATAGAAAATGTAGCTATAAGTAATAATATTTTGAAATTATTTTGATTTATAATAAATAGGGTGTAATAATTTGCTATAGGAAATAAAATTTCCATATAAAAATGTCGTAGTCAGTCAAGAATCTGGAGTTGTTATTACTAGTATTTATATGAGAAGTTTTGTGTCAAAGCATTCAGGATACTTTTGGCTTTCTTCGAGCTGTTGCATTATATATTTATCACACACGAAAAGGAAATATGCAAGGTCTTTTTTGATAAAGATAATGTACGTATAAATTATTACATCAAATTTCTCATAAACAAGCTCAGCTCGGGGCAAATGCACATAGCCATTCTCAACGATGTTATTTAGAGATTAGCCAATATTTATTTTGTCTTGAATTTTCAAACTAAAATTTTTAACTACAGGATAATTCAGAATATTTTTGTATATTTTTGTCCTGAAAATTTGAACTGAAAAACTGAAATTCAGGACGCATTGGCTAATTCCTAAATAACAACCATTTAGAGTGGCTACCTAGTGTCATTTCTACGCAATACCAACTCCTTAATCTCCCTCGTTTCGAGCCCAAACAAAAAAATGGAGAATGTGAATTGTATACGGTCGAAATAGATTTCGGCATTCCTACGTTCGATCGAGTTCGAACGGTAAGCAACCGGAGCGGGATTTTGGGATGAGTTCCGAAGGCAGTACAAATGAGCCTCGAGTCCGAAGGCTGATCGAGGAGTCGGCTCGATACTTTTATCGAGCCTGTGACCAAATCGATTTGCAAGGCATTGCTTCGAAGTCAGGAATGCGCTACACCCACCCCGGAGGTCGAACTCAAGCCAAAATCGAGGGCTCGACCCAATAACGAGTTCGAGCCAGTGTCGAGCTCACAAACGAGAGTCGTTACAACCGCACTAAGAGAGAGAATCTTGGCGGGTCTCGAAAAAGAGACAGTTCATCATGGGTCCTCCACTATATGCTTTATTTTATTATAAATAAAGTAGGATCCCTCTATTATAAAGGGGGATCCTTGTAAGCAGAGGGACGAGTAGAAGGCATTGTAACAAAAGAACACTTCTCATATTGAAAGATATCTCCTCATGCTTGTTTTATTTTACCTTATTTATTCTTTTGCTCACTATTCCCATTCTCATAGCCAAGAACATACACATTTCTATTTCTATATACGATTTGTATCAAATTGTATCACATATCCTTAGAACCATACACAAATTTAACGTTATCTGATTTTTCGGGTAAACAGTTTGGCGCCCACCGTGGGACTAAGGATAACAGTGGTTGTTTGATACGAATCTGCAATACACACCAGTTTGCAACTTCAAATCAACAAGGGCAAACCCCCGACTGATGGCTTTACCTATCGACCACAAAGTCGGCCTCCAAGATGAAACCAACAACTTGACACCCAGGGCGGAAGGCGAATTAACGATGTCACCGAAGCTCGAGTCGAAGTATCGCTAGATGTCAATTCACAAGTAGCTCTTGAGACTAACCAATGTTCCGAACCGGGAAAAAGTATTCAGGTCGGTACTCGATTCGTAGCTCGAGACACCCATAACGTGGAGGAGATCGGAGTCAGCTTACGGATGATCTTCGAGATGTTACAAGCCCAGCAAGTAGAGACAGCTCAGTTGCAGAGCCAAACTCAGGTACAAAGCAGACCGGAGCCCAATCCGCTTCGAGAAATCACCCATAGAACGGAACCAGCCATAGTGAAGTCAAATGAGCAAGAATCGGGGACTACTCCCGAAATTACTAAAACGCTCGAGGAACTCACAAAACGAGTCGAAGCCAACGATAAAAAAGTAAAAACATATAATTCCAGGGTCGATCAGATACCGGGAGCTCCACCAATGATAAAAAAGGCTAGATTCGAAAAAATTCATTCAAAAGTCTTTTCCCTCGAGTGCAGCCCCAAAACCAATCACCAAAAAATTCTGTATGCCCGAAATACCCAAATATATCGGAACGACCGACCCCAACAAGCACGTCACTTCTTACACGTGTGCCATCAAGGGCAATGATTTGAAAGATGATGAGATCGAATCTGTATTATTGAAAAAATTCGGTGAAACCCTGTCAAATGGTGCAATGGTATGGTATCATAATTTACCATCTAACTCTATTGTTTCTTTTGCTATGCTTGCAGATTGCTTCGTAAAAGCACATGCCAGAGCCATTAAGGTCGAAACCAGAAAGTCGAACCTGTTCAAGGTAATACAAAAAGATAACGAGATGCTAAGGGAGTACGTATCTCGTTTTCAAATGGAACGAATGGATCTGCCACCAGTCACAGACGATTGGGCTGTCCAAGCTTTCACTCAAGGTCTAAACGAGCGGCGCTCGATGGCTTTACGGCGGCTGAAGCAGAATCTGATCGAGTACCCAGCTATTACTTGGACCAATGTGCACAATCGATATCAATCCAAAATAAGAGTCGAAGATGACCAGTTGATTTCTAGGTCCGTTACGAAAAGAACTACCAAGCAAAAATCGACCAGAGATCGATACCAGCCATATAGCGGAAACGATACTACTGTTGAGTATCCGAGGCCTCTTTAAAATCAACCTCGTATACTGGGGGGTTTTATCATTGAACGCATCTGTGATGATTATCAAATTCGGTGCAAAGGAAGTTACTTCGTTATGACAAACAGTGTCTCAACAGGAAACGTTGTATGAGCCAAATGATCAAAACAAACCATGCTTATGTAGTTGGCCCGAGCCCTGACGCAAAACATGAACACATGTTTAATGACTTGCAAAGACAATTTTCTTTACCGATATTCTATGTTCAAGATTTATTATGCAAACAGGATCGAGTTCGAGCAAGCGCTCACTTGACCATTACGCCTACGGGCTACATTATTTCGAGTTCGAATCATTCATTCGACTACTAAGTCTACGGGCTACTTTATTTCGAGTTCGAGCAAGCACTCACTCGACCATTACGCCTACGGGCTACATTACTTCGAGTTCGAATCATTCACTCGACTACTAAGCCTACAAGCTACTTTTATTTCGAGTTCGAGCAAATACTCACTCGACCATTACGCCTACGGGCTACTTTATTTCGAATTCGAGCAAGCACTCACTCGACCATTACGCCTACGGGCTACGCTACTTCGAGTTCGAATCATTCACTCGACTATTAAGCCTACAGGCTACTTTTATTTCGAGTTTGAATCATTCACTCGACTACTAAGCCTACGGGCTACTTTTTCGAGTCCGAGCAAGTACTCACTTAACCATTATGCCTATGGGCTACATTATTTCGAGTTCGAATCATTCACTCGACTACTAAGCCCACGGGCTATTTTATTTCGAGTCCGAGCAAGCACTCACTTAACCATTACGCCCACGGGCTATATTATTTCGAATTCGAATCATTCACTCGACTACTAAGCCCACAGACTATTTTATTTCGAGTCCGAGCAAGCACTCACTCGACCACTACGCCCACGGGCTACATTACTTCGAGTTCGAATCATTGACTCAACTTATAAGCCCAGTAGCTATATCACTTCAAATTTGAATAAGCACTCGCTCGATTATAGAGGCTACGAAATCCAGAATTTTATTAAGTTTGATTAAATTTTTGTGAAAACATTTATAGGGCATGTACAAAGTCTTCACAAAACAGAAGCAAGTCGGCAAAGTTGTCTATATACACAAGCGTCTACATGATTGATTTCAAACATAAAAACTAAGGACTAAGCTTCCTGGTCATCCTCGGGAGTGGTTTCTTCTCTATCGGGCTCCCCCCCGTTCTCGGATCCGCTCTTGCTACCATCATCATCATCATCATCGCTATCAGAAGCAAAGGCTTCAGCTTCAGCTTCGAGCTCTTTAGCCTTTTTTATCTCTTCGGCAAGGTCGAAACCTCGAGCGTGTATCTCCTCGAGGGTCTCCTTCCGAGACCGATACTTAGCAAGTTCGGCAACCCAATGTGCTTGAGTATCGGCAGTATCCGCCGCCTCTCGTGCCTCCATCTGAGCAGCCTCAGCATCAGCTCGATACACGGTAATGGACTTGTCCGCCAGGACTTTCGACGACTCAACCTCTGCCTTGGCTTCAACAAGTCATGTTTCAAGCTCCTCGATCCTCTTAGCCTGAGCCGTACCCTTTTGCTTGACGCTTCGAAGCTGAACATCGGCCGATAATAATTTGGCCAAGATGTTTTTTTTTCCGTAGCCAAGCGGTCGATAGTCTCCTTCCACCGATTACATTCAGCCTTGATTTGATCGACTTCTTCCCGAAGTAACCCGATCGAACCATCGAAGATTATATCGATTCACACCACATTCTTCCTGAGAATCGAGGAGACTATCTGTATACGGTCGAAATAGATTTCGGCCTTACTACGTTCGATCGAGTTCGAACGGTAAGCAGCCAGAGTGGGATTTTGGGATGAGTTCCGAAGGCAGTACAAATGAGCCTCGAGTCCGAAGGCTGATAGAGGAGTCGACTCGATACTTTTATCGAGCCCGTGACCAAATCGATCCGCAAGGCATTGCTTCGAGATCAGGAATGCGCTACACCCACCCCGGATGTCGAACTCAAGCCAAAATCGAGGGCTCGACCCAATAACGAGTCTGAGCCAGTGTCGAGCTCACAAACGAGAGCCGTTATAACCGCACTAAGAGCGAGAATCTTGGCGGGTCTCGAAAAAGAGACAGTTCATCATGGGTCCTCCACTATATGCTTTATTTTATTATAAATAAAGTAGGATCCCTCTATTATAAAGGGGGAATCCTTGTAAGTAGAGGGACGAGCAGAAGGCATTGTAACAAAAGATCACTTCTCATATTGAAAGATATCTCCTCATATTTATTTTATTTTACCTTATTCATTCTTTTGCTCACTATTCCCATTCTCATAACTAAAAACATACATATTTCTATTTTTATATACGATTTGTATCAAATTGTATCACATATCCTTAGAATCATACATAAATTTAACGTTATCTGATTTTTCGGGTAAACATGAATCTAGGTGAGATATTATGGATTCAACCGAATCCATTGCTTTTGTATCAACCTAATTATATATATGTAAAAAGAAAAATAATATTTAGTAACATTTGTTATATAATAAAATTGACTACACTCATCAGAACTCACAAACTCTATATTCTGAGTTCATGTTGAAGAGAGCAATAATAGCCGCTTCAGGAACACTGCTTCCAATTTGTATGTTTAACAACCTCGTATATTATTGAGCACATCACAACAACTGTACAAGTATACCTTAGTAGGAAAATTACATTCTACATATAAAGTCAATTTTTTTTACAAGTACATATAGTTAGGGGTGTTCATAAAAATCCGAAAAATCGATCCAAACCGAAAACCGAACCAAGCCGACCAAAAAAACTGATACTTTTTAGGTTTGGTTTGGTTTTGGTTTCTAATTTTAAAAACCGATCAAATTTGGTTTGGTTTTAATCAAAAAATAACCGAAAAAACCCGAACCAAACCGAATCAAATTTGGTTTGATTTTGATTTCTACCATGCATTCAATTTTTCAGGAACATAGTACAACCCCTATTAAGCACTTATTTTGGTAGCTAGGATGAAAGTCTGAAACTGGCAATACCATCACCACAGACGGAAGTAGTCAAAACATAATTTAGTTCCTTACTAATTACTCATCTATGAATGTAGATTCATAGAGATATATGCCACAACATTTTATAATACCAATGTTAAGAGTTAGAGAGTATAAACCATGTATTCACTTTGTTTCTTTAAGAGGAAAATGATATTAATCAATTCCTGTACAAGGTGAATCTTCAGCATCAACTCTACTGATAGTAAGATTACTGTCACCAACTATACAATATTTACCTTTTTTTTTTATGTTGTTAATTACAATAGTAACTTACTCAAGAACAGATTCAGTGGAATGGTATCAAACTTTAGAGGCATAGATGGCCATGAGTTTGAGTCATTTCACCTTGATATGGTAGTATTCTCCATGATTGTACAGTAAGCCAAGCCGCCCAAAAGGCATAAACTAAAGACATGAGTCCTCGATGAAGTATTTATCAAACAGGTGATGCTTGACTAAGTAAAATACTTTTGCCCTTTATTGGCAGCCTTCTAGTGGGATGTTTAGGACGTTTTTAGGATTATATATAAGCACCAGCCTTAAGTTTCTCCTCCTTTTCATCTAACTTCTATTAAGTATGACTCTAGCTTATCGAGATAGACTAACGGCAAAATGAAAACAAGAGTTTATTTTTTCTTTATAATATTTTCTATCTATTTGTTTCCTACTTATTTACTTTCTCACTTAGATACTCTTTTAGTTGCTCATTTACCTTTAGTGTTGATCTTAACTTTGGGGGGAGGGGCAAAGACTTCCTCGTCCCGCCTCTTAAAACAGTTAAATCTCTTTACTGGAGAATTTCAAAAATGGGAAGAATTTATATACATAGGGATAAAAGGAGTATAAAACTATTCGTTCATCTGTCGCTCTTCCACAATTTTCTTTATCAAATAGAAGTCAAATTATCTACATACATAACTTTAAACTTACAATCCATAGTGCAACTTTTACTGAACCAAACAATTAAACCTTAGGGCAAATGTGCTGCTCCAGTATACTAGGTCAACTTGTGGTTGACTTAGCCAGTTAGATTAACCCAATTACCAACAACAACACAAATTGCCGTGCAGCTATTCTTATAGTCATACACTAATTTTCAATTTATCAGAGACATCGCCTAATGAAATACCCAATACACATAAATAGCAAAGAAAAACACACATAACACAGTAAAATAGAGAAATTCTCAATCCAAGTACAACTTAAACCCACAATTATAGTGTGGTAGCAAGAGAAACGCAGAAACAAAGACAGAAATAAAGCAAAGTTGCTGTTTTTTACTTCTTTAACTGATAAATACCAATGCAAGCGAAATTATTTGTTAAGAAATTCGAAATTTTACTAGATGACTAAACCCACAAAGTTTCTAGGTTATAAGAATGAGAGAAACTAACCGAGAAGAGGGGATTTCACAGATTTTCGCACTGATACCTGCCGTCGTCAACCACCGTTTGCCACCGTCTTCAACTACCGTTTGCCGCTGTCAGTCGATAGGTCAGTGGAAGAGAAAGTAGAGAGAAAAAAGATAGAGAGAGTGAGAGATTACTGAAAGAAATTGGGGAAATAAGGATCTAGTCTCTAATTTTTAATTTGAGGTTTCGACTACCGCGATCGCAAAGTGTCAAATATTTTTTTTTTGTTTAAATTTTATATTTCTGACCGACGCAGTGAGTTTTATTGGGTCAACATATTTTTTTGACTTTTCACTTTGCCACTGAATCCGTCGCAAATGTGAAGGCGGAAAATTCTCGCGTTGTTTTTCCGCTGCTTTAGTCGGAATAACAGTCAATATTATTTTAGAAAAATAAGTAATAAAATTAAAATCATTTTCCGACTACTATAGTCGCAAATTTAGTCGCATTAGCGACCATTATATATTCAGTCGCAAATTTCGGTCAGAAATTAACATTTTTCTAGTAGTAATATATATAAATATTTTTATATAAAATTTCTAAAATTTTATGGTACATATTAGTCATTTATATTTTTAGTCTATTTCTTTTGCTATTATAATAATCTAATTCTTTATTTTTATATTCTAGTTTGATCGGTAATTAAATTATTCATCCCGATTTTATTCAATTATCATCAATATAACTTGGTGAATGATAAATTTTTTAAAGAGCAATTTGTTTGATAGTGTTACGTTGAAAATATACTCGCCGGTATATGTGTTTGGTAGTGTATGTCTCATATTTAAGAAAAAACCGATAAATAACTGAAAAATCGACAAAAACCGATAAAAACCGAATCGATAAAAAACTGACTTAATTGGTTTAGTTTGGTTCTAATATTTAAAGAACTGACTTATTTTGGAAAAAACGAACCATGAACACCCCTACATGTAGTAATGCCGAACCCTTTTTAGTGAGAATTAAATCATGCCTTCGCCACTGGTAGAGGCAACAATGGGCTTCAAAAACTGGACTTCAATCCTCCCTTTAAATTAATTCTAATATTGTTGCAATGAATTGTAAAATGTACAGATGAGCTTTTAAGGATGAAAATTTTCGCTAATCTTTACTTAGATGCAGAGCAAGCTCTTATTGTTATATACACCAAAAAAGCGCACCAATGCATAAGATCTATGAGATTACACAATTTTGATGTTGAACTTTTTCATTTCGAAAAACCAATGCTGATTATATTCTAGCTCTCATTAATTGCTATTTCAAATGTGAGATTCCTCAAAATCAATTAATCAGACAACTGATACCTTCGCTGAGCTATTGAGAATTTCTGGTCATTGATAATCTGATTATGTACCTTCATATATAATTAGATAAACTCCACTATTATAGACATATCGTGATTTCATCAAAGGTCGATTCAGAATTTGAACATTATTAGTTCGATTTCGAAATTTTACCATTTATTTGATTTATTGTGTTCGAACTCTTTCACCAAGACAATGATGTTATAGTCTGTCCATGGGAGAATCTTATCATTCATTGTGTATAATGCTGCAAAATTCTGACTAGAAAATCAAGACTTCTAAAATAGTTTGAATGGAATTTGAATACTATTAAGGAAATTGGAGAAAAATAAAACTTCTGTGGTCTGAGTGTAATTTACAAAAATTGAATTTTCCATGGTGGTGGACCATGAATATGTATGTCTAAACAGTGCTCTTCGCACGCAATTCGCAATAATCCCAACTTTGTCCACAGCACAACCCCTTGCAGCATTTGCATGCACGATCTTCCTAAAAATCAACAAACGACGCCATTTTTCAAAATTCCTCCTTCTCTGTTGTGAAACCCTAATTTGAATCTGAAATTTTCAATTGAAAATGTCGTGGTTGAGATCAGCCATGAATAAAGCGGTGGAGGTTGGGAATAACAACCTCACACGCACCGTTAAGAACTACGCGGACTCTGTCGTTCAACATGCCGGTCACGCAGTTGCCGAGGGCGCTAAAATCTTACAGGATCGCATTGTGAGTTTCTTTACTATTAATGTTCCTTTTAGTATTCTGTTGATTTGTTCAGCTCTTAAAATACATGCTAGAAATCAAATGTAAAAAACATTGTGCAATTAAGTGGTAATTGTGGAGTCTTAGCTATTATACTGTTTCCTTGGAGATGAATATGCAGTGCATTTAAGTGATATTGGTATTTGATAGTTGTACATGTGTGAACGGAAGGTTGTGGTCTAGGCCTAGTGGTCAATGAAGTGGGAGGTGAGCGGAGGCGAAAGACGCTAGTTGATTTCTTCCCATATGCCTAAGCCGTGGTGGGCAGAGTTACCCGGTACCTATGCTAGGGGAGGTAGCAAGTGCCTGGTGGAATAGTCGAGGTGCACGCAAGTTGGCTAGGACACCACCATCACAACAAAAAAGGTATATCATCATTTGGTGAAGTAGTCTGTTAAGATGTGATGTGCTGGTAGCAAGTCATTTCTTTTAGAAAGTCGATCAATTAAGATTTGAAGGAAATCAGCTTTTGCCTTTCTGAGCATTTAGCCCCTTAAACCTGCTGGTTAAGCTTAATGTGATATTCTGTAAGTTAATTGAATCAATCAATCAACCAAGCCTCAATCCTAGGTAAGTAGAGATTGACTATATGAGTTATTTACAAATCAATTCAATCAACCTTTTAAAAAAGCACATCATTGCAATACTAAGTCTTTTGCCTTTTATATTCATGTAAGCTCTTTATAGATGGTAAAAAAAGAAAGAAGAAATTTCATAAGCGCACACTAGCAGCAAAATAATGGAAGGTTTGGGTGCCAGCTATCATGTCCTGAACTCTTTAATGATAATAGGATGAGTTGCAAATTATTGGCAGTTTAATTTAAGGAAGCAAATGGGTGTCGTATGCATGTTTCTTATAATCGGAAATATGATTCTTTTCTTGTTAAGAATTTCTGAATATTCTTGTTTAGTCACTTTTATTGAATTATGTGACCTCCTTAGGTAAAAGATTAAGTTGTTAGAGAGAGGTCCCATTTGTTTATTTATTAATTTATTTTAGATTTGCAACATGCCTCCTCACCTCCTTACGTGTGCGCCTGATTCTTTTCTTTGGGCCAAGCATGTGAAAATATTTTATTGATTGGTAGTGGTGAAACTCGAAGTTAGGATCTTTGTGTGCTCTCATATCGTGTTGAATTGTGTGACCATCACGTCTAAATAGCAAACTGTTAGATAGGGTTTATTTATTTAGGTCCACACTAATGATGGAATGAAACGGATGTTAAGTTGTTCTTTTGCATTCCAGAGTGCAAATTTTAGCTTTGCCTACTGGTCCTCTATCTTCCTGAAAGGTTCTTCATGAGGGAAACATGATTTGTTTGTGTCCAGGATCAAACTTAATAAGCTCATTTGGTATTTTCTCTATTTACTAGGTAGTGAAGTTGAACCTTCATGAACTTCTACATGATGTTAAGTTACTTCCCACATCTTTCCTGCTTACTTAAGGGCTGATGTTGTTGGAGATGTGGTGAAATAACAGAACAGGTCTGAGTGATTGACAGTGGAGCAAGCATGTAGAGGTACATCAATCATAAAAGAGCTAAAAAAATATTTGGTTGGAAAAAGTAAGAAATGCTACATACCAATAAAAAAAAAGTAAAAAATGCTACACGGCTGTCGCATATAAGCACAGAGCTGTAATGGAACTCAGTTAATAATCTTTTGTAAACTGCAGGAACTATCCAATTCTGTGTCTAGGAACCCTTGTGATTGCACTTCATTTTCTTATGTGAAGTAAAAAAATGCATGACTAATGCAATTGTTCATGACAGGGGAATAGGAACTTCAAAAGCTTTAAACAGACGGTCCAAAGATTGGAAGAGGCTTCTATTTCTTGCAAGGGACCAGAGAGAGTTCAGTTGATGAAAAGGTGGTTAGCTGCACTTAAAGCAATTGATAACATGTCTGAGGTTTCTGTTGAAGATAAAGAGAAGAACAATGAGCAGCAGCATCCTTCTGAGGAACCAAGAAAACAATCACTGGTGAGTAGACTGATCTTGACTCTTGAGTGCTCTCCGTCTGTTATCTTTCTCCTATTACCATGAAACAGGATTGAGTTTGCTCCATGTTGACAGAATTTCTCCATTTTTGTCTTTTAATGGTATATAAGAAGAAGACAATCTTAGTGAACTAGTTTTTCTTCTTTTAAGATTTCTATGTCTGAGACACCAGGCAGTTCGTATGCTTTTTTCACCACTCAGATATTCGGATGAGGATAAAGATAGTGTTCTAACTGTTTAACTTAATTGATTTTCCTTGCCATTGTTTCATCTTAGGGAATTATCTTTTGAAGGGTTGATTTTAGTGTCTGTTCTTCTCCTTCATCATAGCTCTTTTGCTGCTTTTGAAATCTCCGCTGGTGCCTGGATTCTTTGCTCCTTCATTTCATCTCTATCTGTTGCTTTAAAATCAGTAAAGCAGCCTCTGACTTCCGTTTGGCCTGTATCCTGCTGTGATGCCTTTATCCACTGATTTGACACGCTAAGCTTGCTGGATCCTGATTGTGGCACTTATGTGACTATTGCTATTGCCTACCTATTGAAGTAACTTGTGCATATTGTTGGATTAATATTCCTCGATTATGTATGATTCATGCCACAACTAGATTCCTGTAATTAGCTGTTGCAGCATCTATGCACACTATAGGAAATCATCTTGGGAGACATTGGTGAAGCAGTGAATGTTTGAGTGTAGCTTCTTCATTATGGGAAAAAATTAATTTTAGAAGAAAATGTGGATCAGAGATCTGACTTTTATTGAGTCAGGGATCTGATTTATTTTGAGCTGCTTTTGTCTTGACAAGTTGTAAATGAGTTCTGCTGCTTCTGATCTGGGGATACTTGCTACTTTTTCATGAGCGGTGTATGAAAAGAATTTTTGCTTTTTGTTAATGCCATCTATTTTGTGCAACCACAATCATCTCCAATTACTGCTGATTTTTCTGGAGAAGGAAGAGATAGCCTAGTGATAACGACCCTCCATTTTTAACCATAAGATTGGAGGGTTTGAGTTACTGGGGGAATAAAGTAGGGCTCTTGGATAGGGGTTTTTGTGGGTGGAGTTTAACATATCAGAAAAAAATCTGATTGCCTAGATTGTCTCCCCCTCTTATCTTACTTTAGTTACAGGTCATTTCTTTATACTTTTTGTTACTTAAACGGAGCAAACTCAATCATGTTTTGGTGTTCTTTTGTCTTTTGCATACCTCATCTTTGCTTGTTGATGCCATTTCCATTCATCCTTGACATAAATAATTACATTCGCGATATTTGGTTTCATACAGATTGACTTGACCATGTTTACAATTTTATAGGTTCTCTATTATGATTCTGAGATGGGCAGTGAGCCACTGAACTTTCGTGATGTCTTTCTTTACAGTAAAGCTTTGGAGGGCATATCAATTTGTATGGTATGTTACATTTCTAAGTCCTGCTTGCTTTGGATACAGAAGTTGCAGTAATTTTTGGTTTCTCAAGTAACTCTTGTTCCTGTTTCACTTTTGCTCAATTTCGATCTTCATGATTGCTTTAATCTTTTCAAAAAGTCTTACAGCTATTGTTTTATTTGAGTAAAGACACCCGTGGGGAATGTCTTATTTGAACAATATTTATATAAAAAGTTATATTTGGCTGATGATACCTCTGGAGAATAGTTAATGCTTTATATTTAGTCCATCAGGTTGTGTAATATCTTTTGGTCGTGGACTTTTCGCATGTACTTTGCTTGTCGTTTGGATCTCAAATTGCTGATCGCCTAGGTTAACTCTTTTTTGTGATTCAGATTCTTGAAGCACCAAATGAAGAGGAAATCTCTCTCCTCCTTGAATTATTTGGGTGAGTTTATGTGGTTTTGATAGCATGTATCTGATTTTGATAACATATATGTAAACTGTCGTCCAGTATGTGGTATGTGGAGAGTAGGTACAATTATTGACAGAAACTTTACTGTATTTGGTTACATGCAGACTCTGTCTCACTGGAGGAAAAGCGGTTCACAATGCAATAGTCAGCAGCATCCAGGATCTGTCAAAAGCTTTCTCAAGCTACAAAGATGAAGTATTGGTAAAGGACCAGTCTTTCCATTTTCTATAAACATATGCCATAATTGATAAGCTCTTGATTTTGGTGGCTCTCCTCATTGTGTTGTATTATTATGACAATCAATGAAGTATGGTCCTTCATATCCACTTAATAATTTTCAGTTGAATCTGTCTTATGCTGAAGTTCGAAATAGGTGTGAAGTTCAATTGTGGTAAATCATCTATCAAATATTTCTTAAATATCTTCTGTTGGTTGGTTAACTAAACTGGATCTCCAGTTAATTTGAATACTATTTTATCCTTAAAAAGCATTCTGTATTTTATATCCTAACAATAGAATCACACTCTAAAAAGCACCTCAACAAGCTTTAGGTCCAGATCACCAGTTCTGTCATTGCAATAATGAGAGAGAAAAATTCTGTTTCCCTTACACATATTGTGATCTTATGTTCTTCATGCACCACTAGATTTGTAGGGTAGATTTACCGAAATCCTTTCCCAACTATGAGTCGACTACACTACTACTGAAATTAGCAGTTACTCTAGGACGTTTGGTTTCCTGAACTTTGTTACCTTTGGATGCGCAATTTGTTTCTTTTTTCTCCTTCATGAGTGTTTAGCTATATTCCATCTAGATAAATGAAAGAGTTCTGTTAAAAGGGAACATTTATGAGCTTTTGAATTGGACAGGGGCTTTCCCAGTGATTATTCCATTTCTCTTTTGAAGAAAGAATGAATAAACTTTATCGATTCTGTTTCAGACCTATCATTATAAATAAATGTATCCCCTCTCTAACAGCTTAAGCTCTTAAACGAGGTAGTCAACAAATTTAATATGGTATTAGAGTAGGTAGATGTCCTTGGTTCAGGTTTCATTGCCACCCATTAGGAAAAATAATTCACATGTTTGTCTCAAGAAAAAGAGTCAGGCCTGCACATGAAGATGTTTAGATAAAGCTTGACTAAATTATAAAGCTGCTATAAACAGTGAGTCTCATTTGAGATATTGATGCAACAAAAAGTACTTCAGAAGGCTTCTAATTAACGCGAAAATGCATGAGCATGGCCTTCAGAAGGAAGTTATGGAGGTCATTCAGATAGTCATAACACAGCTTGCAACTCAAAACACGTATGTTAGATTTTGTATTTGCCAAGTAAATTGTCAGGCTAATTGTTTCCTGCTACATTTGCACTGGTAGTACTTGCTTTCTGGTCCTGTGAATCAAAGTTAACTGCGTGCAGAGACTTAGAGTGTCATGAGACTTCGTTATACTTTCTTTTGCTTTATGTTTGTGCTCAGGTGAAGATGTTTTCATGTGATATTAAGTCTTGAACACTCTGTGCTGCATTTTTCAAAGAATTGATGAAGCTCTTGCTCCAACCCCCTTCCATTTGTCTGAAGAAATTTCCTCACATGTTATTTAACACTGTATTCGCCTAACATTAGTCTCCACATCTACCTAGATTTTAGGTAATTTTCCTCATTGATATTGTCACTCATTATCTATCGAAGAAACAAACATCAAAATCTAAACCTATTATCAAGACTTCTTAGCCTATGCAACCATTCTATCCATTGACAGGTAAAACGAGAGGAGCTATTGCAGTTTGCAGAAAGTGCCATCACAGGGTTGAAAATTAACGCAGATCTCGGAAGGTATTACTTCTTATAACACCTGAAATTCTTTGACATCTGTATATAAGTGAACCCCAGGGTTGGAGCCAAATTATTTTGAAGTGGAATTTCTCCCTTGTTTCCAGAGCTTTGGCTGATTGAGCTTAGTTTTCTTTTTCTTTGGTCGATGAGTAACTGCATCTTATTATTTTTATGATCAGTATGCGCGCAAGCTGGCCCGGCCACCACCATCATCCAAAAAAAGTCGAAAGATGGGAAAGCTCTTTGCTAACTAATTTCTTTAGGATGGAAAGAAAATGATAATGTATTTAAACATGACGGTGTCTCATTTCCTTTCGATTCCTTAAGATTCCTTTGGTGTAAATGAAATGATAGTTATAGAGCTTTCAAGAGTGAAAAATGGAACATATAATATTAAAAGGCATTTCATTTTTGTTTCTATTTTTTGCCGTAACAGGAAATTTTTGGTGTTCTTTTATTAAGATACATTATACAGAGGTAGTCCAGCCCTTGAAACATAACCAGGGAATCATTTGAGGCTTTTGTGATCTTAAATTTGTTTATGATTCTATTCTGTCCTAGACATGCCATATATGTAAAAGTCCAGCTCAATTCAATAACCTTTTTTTTTATCAAGCAAAGAATTCGTTTTGACTATTTTAAACCAATTCGATTGGTGAATAATGATAGTAAAATACAGGTCATAAGTTAGATATTCTGCCATTTTTAAAAACTTTTTATGTTACACAGGGGGAGGGGATGCTACTTGTGATGTTCAAACCTTCCACCTACTTTTGAAGGTGAAGGAGCTCACAAGTGAGCTACCTCTCAACCCCTTGATATTGTGCAATTGATCTCTGCTTTCGGTATTTAGTTTTTTTGGTTGTGATAAGTGTTTTCCACCTGCAGAATTGATGCTGAAGTCTCCACATTGAATAAACAACTTGAAGAAATAAAAACGGTAAAGGATGCAAGTGAGGGTCATGAAACAATTTCCAAGGAGACTGCTGCTTCATTAGAGGTGAACCTGATTGGTGTTATGTTATTCCTTTTTGCTCTACCCACCTTATTTTATTAGACACAATCAATCTGGCATGGGGGCTAAGAAGTTAACTCAAATGCATGTTATGTTAGCAGTAGAATAAAGAAATTATTTGGTGGTTAAAGTTGGATTGATCAAGTAATTGCACATCATGATTTAGCCTTATATTGTTAAATGAGTTTTGATGAAAGTTTTATGGAATATTGTTACTTGAATTAAGTGTGTCAAAAACACTTTGAGATGTCCCAGAATGGAATGTGTTGTCGGGGAAGGAGTTGTTATACGTATGTATTTGATAAAATATAATTTGTTTATTTTGTAAAATGGAAATGCGCTCCATATAAGAGGAAAGCAATGGAATAATCAGGCATTCTTCTCCGTTCACTTCCAATTCACAAATCTGATCACTCGTTCAGAATTTCCTAATATGGTCTGATCCTGTGTAATAAGATGGTAACATATGTTTCACATCAGTGAAGAAGCATACTTCACCATACTGGCTTGGCAGGTTATTTTCTTTCTGTAGGTTTTATTTAGAAGGAGAATTGTACATGCTTTTTTTTCTTTGTAGTGCTTTGTTATGGCAAGTGAAGAATTCTACATGAGGTTAATGCATGAGATTCATTTTCCTTGCATGAGCAATGGATTATAATAATTGGAAAATAAGTGTCTTAACTTACCACAAACAGTATTTCTCAGAGCCCTGTGATTTCACGGGTTTTGCTTATTGAAGGTGGATGCTGTGTTAGGGGATTTCATTAATCTAGAACATTATAAGAGACTAAAATGAATGAAATTTTCCTAGCACTGCATATGTTAGGCAAACCTACTTATCTTTTATAATTAGAAATTTATGAGATAGTTGATTGTGCCATTGCTATTTTTCCTATAGGCTCTGAAAGTGGCACTTGCTCATATTCGAGTCTGCTCCAGATTAGAAGGGCTTCTACTGAAGAAAAAAACTCTTAAATTCGGGGACTCTCCAGAAGTTCATTCTCAAAAGGTATATTACCCCTTTGATCTGATTATATGTTTTTGTTTTCTGTAACAAAAGGCCTGGTTCTCCCTTCTTGGAAGTGCATCATGCTTCTCTTCTGTTTCATATGTTGTCAGTCAAGCACCTTGGTAATATGTGATGTACATTCATGTTCTGAAAGTCTGTTGGGCTAATGCCGCAACGAGTGAGATTTTCTGCCTGCGTATGCTTTATACCTTGGGTTGTCTATCCAATATGTCGCGAAATATCTCTTCTTAAATTTTCTTTTTAAGTATTTGATTAGTACTTATATAGTATGTTTTATTCTCTAATTAGAATTCAATCACTTTGATAGATATTTAGCTTCTGTACATTTTTTATTTTTGGATCTTACAATTTTTAAGGTTTTTTCCCATCAATCCATATTTTTATGTACTTCTTAGTGCCTTGCCCTCTGATAGGTAAAACACCTTTGAGACACTTATTTATGCCAATGTAAAGATTCTTTTAAGCTCAGGCTTATGACCTACTTTTTTGTCGGGCATGCCATTGTTGGTTGAGTTTGCTTCAAAATTTCACTCATGAGTGATTTTGGTTTCATTAAAATCTTTCTTTCTATCAAATCATCAATTCCTCTAAAAAATAGGTACTTTGCATCTTCCACAAAGTTCAAGCAATATTTGACTATTTGCAGGTTGATAAGTTGAAACTCTTATCTGAATCTCTTGCTAGCTCCACCAACAAAGCTGAAAAGGAGATCTCAGATCACAGGTTAAAACTGCACATTTCAATTTCTATGTCTCGGCATTTTGAAAGTTGACAAAGCTGCAAATTGTTTGACTAGTCACTAACAAGGGAAAGACCTTGGCCTCATATATTTTCTTTGATTTAATCTTCATCTCTTCTGTATGTAGCATTGTGTTAGTACCCTGCCTCTAGAAAGAATCTGCACTCTTTTCGCTTCAATTCTTGGCTTGAGCTTGTTCATTTGTTATCAGAACTTACTTCGAGATATATGCCTGTAATTGATCTCATTCTTTATTTCCATGTTGCATGTCTTCCAAATCTCATACACCAAGAGATCATTTGGTGCAAACAAGATTAGGAGAATAGTACACATGTTACCGAGAGGACCACCTCTGAGGGGAGACTTGGCAACTCCAGTGACATGTTAGGTTCATCGGATTAGAGATGAACTGAAGGTTTTTGGAATGTAATATGCCATAAGTTGCCAAAAAACTCAAATTAAATAAATAATACTACAACTCAGTTGGGTCATGCCTGAGAGGATTAAGGATGCCTACATATGCTCAGTGTTGTGAAGAGTGTGAAGCGAGAAAAAGCGACAACCCCCATTTCGCTTAAAGCGAGAAGCGAGAAGCGAAGTGCTCGCTTTTTGGAAGTGAAGCGGAATTTTAAAAAAAAAATTAAAATAAATACTGCATAGACAACACATGTAATTGTAAGCAAATGTTCAATACTTCAATGTAAAAACTAATAGTAGCATCAATTAAAGCACAAAATGAGCATCCTATTCTTCTACAAGATTGTCAAATTCTTGTATTCCATTATCATTATTATATTGCTCGCCAACTTCTTCAACTTTTTCGCCATTAAAAGAACAACTACATAGCACATAAGAAAGACAATAAGAACTAACAATAAAGGATATAAAAATTAGAGGTAAAATAAAAAAAACTGGGCAGAGGAGAAAAAAAAAACTGGACAGTAAACTGGGCAATTTTTTCTTTCACTGTTAAAAATTGGCATCAATTCTGAGAAAGAACCGAAGGTAAAAAAAAAATTCGCCAGCATTTCGCTGCTTTTGGGACATGTGAGAAAGCACGGGAGAAAATATGTTATTGATATTGGATAAACAATACAATACAGGAGGTCCTTATTTATAGCTATACTATACAAGGACATACTACTCTTCTACCAATGTAGGACAATACTACACTATATACATGCGGTAAACTAACACTCCCCCTCAAGCAGGTGCATACAAATCATATGTACCGAGCTTGTTACATATATAACCAATACGAGGACCAGTGAGAGACTTGGTGAAAATATCTGCAAGTTGATCATTCGACCTCACAAACTTTGTAGCAATCTCTCCTGAAAGTATCTTTTCTCTGACGAAGTGACAATCAATCTCAATGTGTTTAGTTCTCTCATGGAACACCGGATTTGATGCAATATGAAGGGCAGCTTGATTATCGCACACAAGTTCCATCCGACTGATTTCACCAAATTTCAACTCCTTGAGCAATTGTTTGGTCCAGACTAGCTCACATGTTGCCATAGCCATTGCTCGATATTCTGCTTCTGCACTAGACCGAGCAACTACATTCTGTTTCTTGCTCTTCCAGGACACCAAATTTCCTCCTACTAAAACACAATATCCAGACGTAGAACGTCTATCAGAAGGTGATCCTGCCCAATCAGCATCTGAGTATCCAATGATCTGCTCATGACCTCGATCCTCAAAGAGTAACCCTTTGCCTGGAGCCGATTTTATATATCGAATAATGCGGACAACTGCATCCCAATGACTATCACAGGGAGAATTCATAAACTGACTTACAACACTCACAGGATAAGAAATGTCGGGTCTAGTCACTGTGAGATAATTTAATTTTCCAACCAGCCGCCTATAGCTTGCAGGATCGCTAAGCGGCTCCCCCTGTCCTGGCATAAGTTTAGAACTCGGATCCATCGGAGTGTCAACAGGTCTGCAACCTATCATCCCCGTCTTCTCAAGAATGTCTACAGCATATTTTCTTTGAGAAATAACAATACCTGAGCTAGACCGGGCAACCTCAATACCTAGAAAGTACTTCAATCTGCCTAGATCCTTAGTTTGGAAGTGCCGGAAGAGATGCTGCTTTAGATTGGTAATACCATCCTGATCATTGCTAGTAATAACAATATCATCAACATAGACTACCAGATAAATACAGAGACTTGAAGCAGAGTGCCG